CTCTGACCATATTATACTTTTCCTTCATTTCCCTCATAGTGTCTTGTCTTTAGTATTTTGGGAACTTCCTTATAAGTTTCCAAGCAAAGATACTCTTATAGATGTTCTGGGTTCAGAATGGGCCATTTCGGTAGAGTCTAGAAGTAGCTGAGGACCTTCTCTCAGAAAATTCATCTGTTTTGGGGGGGCAAAAAAAAGCCCACCTGCAGTGGCTCACGCCTGTAACCCCAGCACTTTAGGAGGCCAAGGTGGGCAGATCACTTGAGGTCAGGAGTTCAAGACCAGTCTGGCCAACATGGTGAAACCCCATCTCTACTAAAAATACAAAAATTAACTGGGTATGGTGGCACACACCTGTAGTCCCAGCTACTTGAAAGGCTGAGGTAGGAGAATTGTTTGAACCCGGAAGTCGGAGGTTGCAATGAGCTGAGATCACTCCACTACAATCCAGCCTGGGCAATAGAGCAAGACTCTGTCAAAAACAAACAAACAACAACAACAAAAAACTAGCCATTCAATTGTCAGAGAGAAAACTAATTTTTTTCTTCAGTTTTACTTTAGAACTCTGGCCACGTAAAGAAATCACATTGTTCAGATTCTGAGTTTTTTACTCCAGGAAGACATCTGAGGAAATGACAGTGATTAATAATATAAAATTTGATCAGATAGACCTGAGTTTAAATTCCTGCTTTTCACCTACTTGTAGGGTGTTTTAAAAAATAAGGCTGTCAGTTCAGTAATGGTGTTGCCTCTCCTAGCTGTGATAATTAGATTCATTTATTAAAATCTCTGGGCTTTGGTTTCTCAGTGATAAAATAGGCGAGATGAGTAGATATGATTGGAATAATTAAATGAAGTAGTATAGTCAAGAGCAGAGCCCATAAAGGCAATTTGATTAGAATAGCCACAAATATTTGACTGCACCTTTAAGATCACCATACTTTTTAACTTTCACGTGTTTTCTTCCACGAGTAATAAATATCTATTGTAGGGAAATTAGAAAATATAGAGAAGTAAAAATAATGAGAATTATTTAATCACTTGTAGAATCACTTGCCAGAAAGAATTATTGAGAATTCGATCAAATTCTATCAGACTTAATCATAAAAAATCAAAGTGACATCAGATTGTCCCTGAAATGTGTAATTTTCACCTTTTAGAGTATCTGCCTGATCTCTTCTATGAAAATGAGTGAAGAAAGACACAAGAAATTGATTTCTAGGAGGTAAACCAGGAGAAAGAATCCTGAGAAGATTTGAGAGGAAATGAACTTATTGTTTGTTTGTTTTCACAAAGGAAGAAATGTTGTGAATTCAAGACAGAGCATTGTTTCCTGCCAGAACCTTTCTGGAAAAGGCAGTAGTGCTAAGGCAAGGTTTCTCTCAGAAATACAGCGAGCCCTGAAGGATTTCTATTGGGTAGGTTTCAGTAAAAATGATGAATCAACATTGTTTTTATTGTTAGCTCCCAGTGACTGAATGACTGAATTGGAGAGGACTGAGAAAGCAATAACTTTATTTTTCAAAAGTTGCCTCCCTTTTCCCTTCATTAGGATAATTTGTAAAAGCTTTTTGGCTCTTTCTGTGGTCTCTATTACCAAAAGATCTGAACAATGATTTTTGAAAATGTACCCCTAAAATCTATTTGATAGTAATGTTTTAATGTAATATCTAACCTATTGCTTCATCATATTTGGAATATTAACAGCATAGCTAAAATTTTTTGAGTGTTCTGTTTATGCATATGTTCTCCAAACTCCATTTTAAAGATAACGAAACTGAAGAGCTTAGAGGTGTTAAGTAAATTGCCCAAGATCACATAGGGAGTGTCAAACTGGGGCTTAAGTACATGCAGATCCACCACAGTCCAAAAAGCATCCCCTATTGACCACAGCACATTATGCCTTATTGTTTTCTTATGCAATATGCATTCTTACATATGTGGAGATGAAGGCAGAGAGGGAGAACTCATGTTTATTAAGCACCCACTAAAGGTCAGGCACTCACATATGTGCTATGTGCTTATGCTTTACATATTTAATCCCTTCCAACAGTACTGTAGATAGTATTATTCTCATCATCCAGTTAGAGAAGCTGAGGCTCAATAAGCTAAATAATTTGACTAATTTAACTAATCTATTAAATATCAGAGTTAGGATACCAGCCCAAATCTAAAACCTTTCTACTGCACTTGGAGAACAAGAAAAAGGTTCTGAACTTCTCTTCCCCAATTTCACAGCCATAGTGAGATTGATTTTTAACTCTGTTCAATTTGCTAATATTTGAGGTATCACACTCTTTGGGTAAGGATGATCATTTATAATTTTGAATTCCAGTTAAATCCCCAAAACTTATTCCAGACTATACATTGGAGTAAAAAGAGGTTTATGCAGTAACAGTTAAACTATGTTTCTCTCTGCTTTTGTGAGACATAGAGCCCTCTTTACATTCCTTCCATGGAGTTGGACATGTGTCTAAGTTGCTGTGATAAGCATGCTGCAAATTATCTTCTTATGACACTGGATGTCTGTCATTTTCCTCCTTTCACTCTACCTCACTGCGATGGTGTTTTTGGCTCCTTATACTACCAAGAGAGGCTGCTAATATATCTTCGGTGCCCAGAATACAGTCCTTCTTTGCTATTGCTCCTGAAATCGCCAACATCGTCTCCTAAGACTCCAGTGCTATCTCCCGTCTCTGCCCAAGTTTCCAGTGCTAATGCTGCTGACATATTGAGGTCCCAAAGCCCAGTAAAGCAATTAGTAGGAAAAAAAAAAATGGAAAACAAACTTCTTTTGCTTATTCATATTGCACGTCCATTGGGCCTGGGCCAGAGAACCAACAGAGTGACAGGCCCAAGGTCTATTCAGAGTCCCAGCTCTGTTCAACACCAGCCCACTGTTCTTGAAACAGGTTGTGGCTGTTTGTCTTCACTTACCATGTGATCTTTCTCAAGAGACTCCTTATTCTTTCTTGTAAAGACTGGCTACGGCTATATAAAAACCTAAGAATAATCTCAGGTTTGGTTCCACCTGGACTCTTTACTATATACATATGTATGTATGTGGAAATGAGGTCAAGGGAATGTACAGGTTTGTTCAGTGTTAACAAGCTTATTACTGGCATGGATACAGTAAGTATTTGGGTATTCTAACTCCTAATTCAGAAAAGTATTATTTCCTTCATTCATATATTCACTCAACAAATGTGTTGAAGGCTGGTTTTGTGCCAGCCACTGTAAGAGGTAATGTATATGACACATGCTATCCCTTTAGAGCTCATAATCTACTGGTGTGATAAGTCCATTGCAGGGTTAAACTCAAGATCCAATGGGAGTTAATAGGAGAGATTTCTAACGTAGGAAAGGCTTCTGAGATGAGACGATCTTTAAGCTGAGCCTGCAGGCCAAGAAGTTAGTGAGGCTGAGGAAGAAAGCTGGTTTGTGGTCAGTGGGAAGTGCGGCTTGGGAAGGGTAGGCATTTCTGATTCAGTTAGTCAAGATGACAGCTGAGCTCCAAGCTTTCTTGCCAGTAAGTTTACATTTTCCCTGGTCAAGCACCTGAGTTCCTCTAAATTACTTCAGAAGTTTAATGACTATTCCATTTTCTTTTTCTTGATAATAATATGGAACTTTGAAAACAGCAACTTCATTGCATAGAAGTTTCTTTGTGAATTTATTAGAATGAGAGAAAGAGGACAGGAGTTTAGTTCATGAGAAGGGTAGGGCCAGAAGCAAGATTGCAACTTTAAATAAGTTAGGTTAAACCAACATAAAATAACCCTCAGGAGTATATCGAGGTTTCATGGAGCCTGAAATTTATATAGTATTGCAGGGCTCTCTTTGAAAAAAATAATGTAGCGGGACACAGTGGCTCATGCCCTTAATCCCAGCACTTTCGGAGGCTGAGGCAGGTGGACCACTTGAGATCAGGAGTTCAAGACCAGCCTGGCCAATGTGGTAAAACTCTGTCTCTACTAAAAATACAAAAAATAGCTGGGAGTGGCGGCAAATGCCTGCAATCCCAGCTACTCAAGAGGCTGAGGCAGGAGAATCATTTGAACCCAGTAGGCAGAGATTGAAGTGAGCCGAGATTATGCCACCACACTCTAGCCTGGGCAACAGAGCGAGACACTGTCAAAAAAAAAAAAGAAAAGAAAAGAGAAGGAAGGAAGGAAGGAAGGAAGGAAGGAAGGAAGGAAGGAAGGAAGGAAAGAAAGAAAGAAAATACAAAAATAAATCTTACTTTTGTAAATTTGTCAAGTATATGACTATGAGAACACATTGCGATTTTACAGAGATCTTATCAAAGTGAAGAGTCTTGGTGCCTAAGCCTCATTAGCATCATGGTAAACACCCCTCTAAGACATGTTTCAGAGAGCGTGCCATCAACAGTGATAAAATCCCTCAAACCAAAGGCTGAAAGTACTTGCACTCATGTATGAGTGATCTGTGGTAATTCGGAGAAGAAAAAGGGAAAAGAGGAAAGTAAAGATTTGTTTTTCTGGGGGGTGGGGGAGTTGTGTGTGTTTTTACTTATAACCGTAGTCTACTAAGGGGGATTTTTTTCATGGTTATTTATAATAGACTCTGTGTTCTAGGAAGATTTCAACAACTTTTTAGCAAACAATGTTCACATAAACCTGAAATGAAGAGCCAAAGAGGATGTGGTCTTTCAGCACCTCCAGCTAAAAAATGCTGCAGAGGAACTTCCCGTATTAAGGTAAATGAACAAATAAATCTTCCTGTGGAGACACAAGTTTTCTGAACTGATTTTATTTGCAACACAGTTATTCAAGTATGGACTGGGAACAGGAATGGGAGGGAGTGGGGAGCAAAAGAGGGAAGATATAAAAGCGTTGTACTTTTGAACTGGCTCTCCAGAAATAAAGAAAAAGCCTTGATATGTATGTCGATTTCTGTGGTGTCCATACTGTCACTATGGCTCACTTCAATCTTCTGATTTGATACCACTAACAAGGTGTTACGAAGGCATGGGCAAAATCAATTCTTGTAGGTCAGTGAGATCCACTCCAGAAGACAAATCCCTGGATGTAAACTTTCTTTGGTCTGACTGATGCTTCCTTGTGGAGGTACCAGAACAGACCTTTGGTTTAAAATGCATCTCAAATGTGAAATCAGGTTCTTTTCTTTGCTTGAAGCACCCGCAATAATATGCAGAGATTGTATTTCAGGTCCCACATGCTCTTGAGTTAATTTTGCTGGATTAAAGGGTGTGCAGGCCCTTCTGAGTTAGGACTGGCTAGGGTTTTGTGAACTCCAGCTGAGATTCTGGCATCTTCTTCATCAAGTTCTGTATTAACAGCTGCCACCTTCAGAAGACTGGTAGAGGTTCAAGGTTAGGGAAAAGCACAGAAATTACAAAAACTGACACCTTTTATCAAGGGCTACTTAAAAATATTGTCTGTTTTGGAAAAAATGTGGGTAAAGAAATGTTTTCAACAAAAGTTTGATTGGTGGGTACGTATCATCTATTTATATATTAACAGCACATGTAACTTGCAGCATAAATATTTTAAATAAATTGATATACACAATTCTTCCCTCTCTCCCTCCTTTCTTCCCTCCTTCCTTCCCTTCCTTTCCTCTCTCTCTCCTTGCTTCCTTCCTTCCTTTCTTCCTTCCTTCCTTCCCTCTCTCTCTCTCTCTTTCCTTCCTTCCTTCCTGTTGAGTAGTTATAAGGTTCTAGGCATGTAACTTAATGTACACTTTCTCTAGTAAAGCAATTAATAAGACAAAACTTGTACATTGAAGGAGCTCATAGTCAGGAAGAAGGAGACAGTTGCGTAAACACCTACTGAAGAATGTTTCAGGGATTGAGATAAGAAGCTAAGCTGGGTAGCAAGCAAAAGCATGAAAGCAGGACTGTTAATTCTAGCTGGGTGAAGGGCCAAGGTGGAGATCAAGGCTGAAGTTGTAAAGTCATAACAGAGGAATTTAAAAGGTGAGAAGCCTGATAATCAAGGCTATGGGACGTGTAGGCAGTGTGACAAGGGGTGGGTGGAAGCTTACTGACTGGTCAAGGCAGTGCAAGAAGTTTAACCTGTCTGGAAATATGCAGACAAGAACTGGAAAGGGCAGTCTGTGCATGAAGATTCCAGGAGAAGCCTGATGATGGAAAAACCTTAAAATCACATCGAGGTTTATTTTATAGTACTACTGTTGAGGAACCATTTTTGGGTTTTTAATTGGGGAATGATACGAACATTTCCAGGGTTGTTGCTCTGTTCTGTTTTTAAGGATCAGTACAAACTAGCTTCATGAAGAATGGATGGGAGAATAAGAAGCTATGGCAATAACGACAGTTAGAATATATCAATGGGCATGGAAGAGGCTGTTGACCTGGGGAGAGTACCAATAAAGATGGCCTATGCAGGGGAAAGAACTCGGGGATTTTATAAAGTTAGAATTGTCAGGACTTTGTCATCATTTCAGGCAGGGTGAAGGAATGGTTTAAGTTGCCTCCAAGGTATTTTGTTGGGGGTGAGGGGTACAGAGGGGTCTTACTGAATGGTGATGAAAAAGGGACACAAGCGAAGGATCAACATTGGAGAAAAGATAACCAAACCCTGGGAAGCTTAAGGAACAAAATGTAACAAAACAACAGGGATTGTTTTATAAAATACTTTGAGATATCCAGGATCAAAGATATGATAAAAACTAATATCGTGTATTCTTGCAGTAACTTTTAATTTACAAAAACAGTCACATACATTATCTCACTTGACTCTGACCCTTAGGCACTATGTAAGAAGGGCAGGGCAAGCACCAGAAACCCAGGGTTACAAAATGTAATGATTGGGTCTCAGAGGGATTGCAAGGCATGCTCAAAATCCCACAACTGCGCTGAAATAGGACAAAGAGAAATATGGTCACTCAGTGCTTAGAACTGGGAGGGATCGTAAGGCATGCTCGAAATCCCACAACTGAGCAGAAATAGGACAAAGAGAAATATGTTTGCTCAGTCCTACGTGCAATGCTCATGACAAGAATGGGAGGACAGATGGAACCCCTTTAGAGCTTGATTTTCCTTCCCTGTTGGAATATTTCTGCCTTTGGCACTGGATACAATACCTCCAGCATCTGGCTTCGTTGAGTAGTTTCTTGATGAGATCCCCAGTCGTATCAGTGGAGACATGTGGGTCTTGTATGTGTTGCCTAAAGTTATGTCCAAACTGTTGAGGCCTTGACGTTACTGGAGCTTGAATGACCCATCACCTTGGAGGGTTCTGAAGTACTGATCATCTCACTGGTCATCCTAAAACCTGAAACTGAAGACAGGGAGGCAAAAATATCCTGTCATCTTTTCCTTTCTGTGAAAAACAGAAAGAAAAACACAGTAAACCTGCCATTTCCCTCAGGTCAAGTGACAGGCACTGACCCTTGAATTTTCCATTCAGAGAGCTCCAAAGTAAACACAGAATCACGTAAGCCTGAAGAAAAGAAGCCAAATTGGGAACATCACACTTCCTCTCTCCCAGAGAAGACCAGTTTTTCCTATTACTCTAAGTAGGACACTGGAAGAGAAAACAAAGTCCCTTAAAAATCAATTATAAATTAAAGAATTTGTAATGTAATTACACTGAGTACGCTTTGCACGTACTCAGATGATGGCATGCAATTGAAAAATCTGTTTACGTGTTAGCTTAGCATTTGTAAACTCTACCAAACAACCTACATCTTCCTACCATTTGCTCATTTGTTATAACTGAAAGTAATGTCTCCTTAAATATTAAAGCTGATGGAGAAAAATGTTCCATGCTTCTTCTCTCATCTCAGACATGAGAAAAATTACTCTCAGACTTATTTACACAGTTAAGTTTACCCTTAGAAGTACCATCTCTTCAGTTTTGAACTTAAGTTAAAAGTGATGGAGTTCAGTAAAATTATGAACAGGATTAGACACACCTCAACCCCATTCTTCCTTATTAAAATGCATTTTTCTCCCCTTGGTGAACAGGACGACATGCTCTGCTGTGATTCTTCCTAACCCCTTCCCAGAATTCTTCATTAGGTCTTTCTCTTTGTGGTATCAGTCTCAAATCTCAGAACTCAGTCTTTACCTCCTCTCTTATTCATATCCCTAACAATTTTATACAATCTATCCTTTAACTCTCATCTCTAGGCTGACTACTCCCAGAATTATAGCACTAGTCCTAATCTTTGCTGTAAAATCTATACTGGTACAACCAACAGCTAACAACACCTCTACTTAAATATCTAATAGCCATGTCCAGGCCAGACTCTTGCCTTGCTGCTATCCCCAAACCTACTCCACCCACATCCCTCCCACCTCAGCAAGTGGCATCATCATTCTTCCAGTTTTTTAAGATAAAATCCTAACAATCATCCTTGATTCATCTATTTCTCTAATATCCCACATCCAATCCATTAGCAAACTCTCTGCTCCACCTTCCCAATACATTTCAAAGCCAATTGCTTCTCATAATCTTTATTATTTCTTACATGGATTGTTGCAATCACCTGCTAACTTGTTTCCCTGCTTCTCTTATCTCTCTTCTCTTCCCACCTGACAAAGCTATCTTTTTAGAGTTTAAATCAGATTATGTGATTCCTCTTAGAATAAAATTTAAATACCATATCAGGGCCTCCAAAGTTCTACACGATCTGGTTCCTGTCTTCTTCTCCGCTCTTACTGCCTAATATTCTGTGCTTTGCTTGCCCTGCTGCAAATACATTCATTTTCTTTGGATCCCCTGAACATCCAAGCACTTCCCACTTCAGTGCCTTTGCACATGTTATTCCTCTCCCTGGAATGCTCTTCCTGCAGTTCTTTGCACAGCTTAATTTTTAACATCGCTCAAGTTTCGGCTTAAATGTTACTTCTTCAAGAAAGGTCCCTTTCCTCACTCCCCCAGCCTTTTTGCTGTGTATCTGCTACATTTTTATTGAAAACATTAATTATTACTACAAAAATTATATGTATCAATTCCTCTTAGTTTACTATTTTTCACCCCAGTTTCCATAAATCTAAGTTAGTAGGGCCTATGTCTCTTTTTGTATTACCTATATATCCTCAATGCCTAAAAGAGTACCTGGCACATAGTAGGCACTATATAAGCACGTCATGACTTGATGAATAAGTTAAATAAATGTGTCTCTAAGATTCAATATCCCTGGTAAACATTTTTTTTTTTTCACTTCTAACTTGCATCAAATGAACAATATGTGTGAAACTAAAATATGTAAATTAATGATCTCAACATTTAGAACAACCTGAGAACTAACATCATACATCTAGAGAAAATAACTCTTCCAAACATTGGCTGGGTAGCATAAATATCAAATACACTACTGCTGTCAATATTAGCAAGACAACAGTAGAACAACTTTCTCCAGAATATTCTGATAAGACAGATAGTGTACTGGCATTACCTGAGTCTTTTAGGTGAATCCCTGTATCTTCTCACTCAATAAAGGGCAATTGAGTGGCCACTATTTGCCAAACACTGTGATAGATACAAAGACATGTGGATGAAAAGACAAGCAGAATCTTGCCCTCATGCCACCAACAGAGAGGCCAGATATTAAATAATTATCAAGAGGCAGAAAAATGCTAGAACCATGGAATATTAGAGGAAACCATTACATCCACATTTATAGACAGGAAAATGCAACTTATAGAGAAAACATGGCTAACTCCTGGAACACCACTGGTTCATGGTAGTATTAAGGCTTGAATCTTAATTTCTTATTCATCAATTTTTTGCTCTAATTAACATGACATACACCCTGATTTGTCTAGGACAGTATTGGCTTAGTACTTGTCCTAATTATTAAAATATCACCTTGTTCACTCTCAAATGAGTCCTGGTTCAGATAATATGGCATCCTAACTCACATTGGCTCTACTAGATCAGAACTCATAAAAATCAAAGGGCCTGCCACACCCATTGGTTTGACTAGAAAATTAGTCTTTTACTCTTTTATGAAAATTGCCATAATTGACCTTATTTTATTCTAATAGTAGTTATTTAAGCTAGAGATCACGTCACTGATGAGGTGAAATAATACTGTGCCATCAGATTTTAATTGGGTGGGGATTAATTGGTCCTCTTTCCAGGAGTTCTGAGCTTGAGGTCCACATAGAGAAGCAGAAGCAGTCACAGTAAAATCAGGAAGTGATGAGAATGGCGGGGGCAGTAAAGTACAGACCGCAAACGGAAACACTTCCAAGGGGCAAAATGGCTGGGTCACTAAGGCTGCTCTATCATGATCATCAAAGAACAAGATTTTATTACCCTTTGAAACTTACGGCTCAATTACTAATTTTTTTTTGCTTTCCTTATTTCCCTGTTTCTGACAAGCTATAAATACATGGTCATATTTATAGTATATGTGTACTCTCTCTTTCAATGTCTCTCTATATTATGCATATTGAGTCCCATTCAGATCTCTATATATTATATTACAGAATTCAGGACGCATGCCACCTTACCCACAGCGTAGGTTAAGGAGTAGCCTTTACTGGGAAAATTTACGCAAGTCAGTGTCTGCTTGGGTTCACTTAATCCTCACATCATCCTATAGAAGGCTTGCCTAGACTAGGGCACTGCTGGTCTTGAAGGGCAGGACTGCATTTCAGTACAAATGTCTCTTCCACTTGCATGTGGAGACCTGTACATAGTGTGGTCCATAGAGAACACATAGGCTGCTTAAAGCCAACCATTCTGGATTTCGGATGGCAGCTGCTGTCTGGGAATGTTGGCTGCCCTGCACCTGGAGCCCTTAGGGTCAATGGGACATTGCATTCCACCCTGGCAGAGGAGAAAGTCCCTGGTCCCATAGGAATGTGAGCATGGGCTTAGCTCAGGCCCTTTCTCAGAGGGCCAGCTCAGGGGGTGGGTAGACACAGCTGGCTTATTACCCAGATAATGCACAGTGTCCGTCCATGGATTACTCATCTGTTCATTGGAATGGATGCTGGTTAAGTGCCTGCTCTGATTTTCTACCTATAAAATGTCAAATGCACACACACACACACACACATATATGTATACGTAGGCAGTTACAGATTTATATAGATATTTAACATTTTTTAAAGGAACAGGGTCTTGCTATGCTACCCAGGCTGGTCTCAAATTCCTGGGTTCAAGCCATCCTCCTTTTTCCTGAGCAGCTGGAATTACAGACATGTACCACTATGCCCAGCTTCTATATAAATATTGATTATAATTTATCAGCTTTGGTCATATTATATATAGGCTATGTAAACATATAAGGTACATATATGCACACTTTGCATATGTATGGATGTATTTAAGCCACTAAATCCAATTGAAAGTGAAAATAAATTTCATTAGAAAGTCATGAAATAGTTTCGATCACACCATGAGGTTTCACGGTATGGATTTGGTGTCCACTAGACACGCAGTCTTTTCCCCCACACACGTTTCTTTTCCTATTGTCTTTCTTTAGAGGTGGGCTACATCGACAATATGGAATCTGATATATCACTGAAAATTTAACCTTGATATGTAGCTTGATGGTTCAACTGCTTTCTATATTGTCATGAAAAGAAATAACTCCACGGTAATGAACTGTTTTGAGTGGTTGTCATTATTTCACCATACAAGAACTTTTGATAATATTGTTTTTCCATTTTTTTCAACCTAAAGGAATTTAAAACATTACTGATACCATTAAAGTCCTTTTCCAACCCCCTTTCACATTTCATTTCCAAACTTCCATTTTTGAAGCAACTACTATCATGAATTTAGCATTTACCTTTGCAGTGTATTTTTAAATATTTTTCTTACATATCTATTTACCCAATCACAATATGAAGTAAATTGCTGTGCTATTAAAATTTACATAAATGACATCATATTATATGTATCAATCTAAAATTTTCTTTTTTTATTCACTTTTTAAAACTCAGATTGTATATTATATATACTTCTGATACTGTGATATATAATAAGAAACATATATTTGGGGCTTCATTTCTGTTGTCTAGCACACAGCTCCTAGAAACCTTTGATTCTCGGAGACGGTAAATTTCTAATGAGGTGACTGGTGGCTGGAGGCTCCTGGACAGCCTCAGCATGGGGGCTGGTTGGGAGGGTTGGGGATCAACCCTGTGAATGCAGGTTGGAATTACAGCTCTACCCACTCCCCAACCTCTGGGGAGATAAGAGGGACTGAAAGTTAAGGTGAGAACCAACAGTCAATGATGTAATTAACTGTGTCTACATAAAGAACCTCCATAAAAACCCAAAGGACAGAGTTTGGAGCTTCTGGGTTGCTGAACGCATGGAGACACTGGGAAGGAGCTGTGCCCGGAGAGGGCATGGAAGCTCCCCCTCCCTTCCCGCATGCTTTGCATTGTGTACTTCATCTGACTGTTCATCTGCATCCTGTATAACAGTGCTTATGGTCAACCTGCAAGCAGAAGTAAGTATTTCCCTGAATTTCATGAGCTGTTCTAGCAAATGATAGAACTCAAGGAGGTAAAGAGAACCTCCAATTTGTAGCTAAGTGAGAGCAGAAGTATGGGTAAACTGAAAACCTACTACTTGCAACTAGCATCTGAAGTGGAGGGCGATCTTGTAGGACTGAGCCCTTAGCCTGTGGGGGTCTGTGCTAACGCCTGTTAGTGTGAGAATTGAACGGAATTGTAGGACAGCCAGTTGGTGTCGGCTGGAGAGTTGATGTGTAGGGAAAAAAAAATCCCACACATCTAGTGTCAGAGTGAAGTATTGAACAGTGAGTGTGAGTATAGAGAAAAATAGTTTGTATTTCCTATAAAATAATACGTTAGTAAAGTTAAAGAAAATCAATGACATGGCGGCCCATGTGCCCACAATTTGACAATCCTTTATAAAGGATATATGTGCTATCTCATTCCTTTCCCTGGATGTAACTATGATCCTGAATTTTATACTAAAAATTCTCCCAATTTTCTTAAAACTGGTATCACATATGACTGAATTTCTACAAATACATTAATTACTTCTGCTTGGGGCGTTTGCACTTTATAGAAATGAAATCACGCAGGATGCATTCTTCATCATTTCTGCTTTTTCTTTTCAACATTTTATTTTAGAGATTGGTTAATGTTGATACACATAGCAATAATTCACTGATTTCTAATAATATGATGGGAAAAACTATCCATGTTGATATATAGAGTTAATTCATAACAAATTGCATGTGTTTACTACAATGTGAGAATCTTTGTCTTTTAACAGGAAAGTTGATTCATTAATATTTGCTATTTTCACTGATTCTAAAGTGCAGTAACAGACTAAAATATTTTGGAATAAATCTCCCAATACAAAATATCTATAAATGTTAGTTTACTATATAACAAATATCTGTAAAGCAAAGGTTATATGAGTGAAGGAATCACAAATGAGTGCCTTGTAACACTGTTGAGTCCCAGTTACTCATAAGTACCTGTTTTTTCATCCATAGACAATAGAAGTTGAACCACTTTCAGGCTATGTCCTTGGTTTATGGGCAGATTTTTCTAATCTGAGTTCATTGGTACTTTCAAAATTACTTCCTAATTACAGTGCATTCACTCCTGTCCCTATGAAGGTATTGGAAAAGCATCCTATATATGCATATGGGCTGCAATTCTTCAACTCTCTCTCTCACACTCTACCTCTGAGTTCTCTCTTCAGTTTCAGTATCTGGAGATTTCCCATTCTTTGTTTTGATTACGTAGTTGAAATATTACATACACAAACACACATACACGGAAAATACTTATTTAGCGTTTCTTGTTTTGAGACGGAGTTTTGTTCTTGTTGTCTTGTTGCCCAGGCTGGAGTGCACTGGTATGATCTCAGCTCACCCCAACCTCCACCTCCCAAGTTCAAGCCATTCTCCTGCCTCAACCTCCCGAGTAGCTGGGATTACAGGCATGCGCCACCACGCCCGGCTAATTTTGTATTTTCAGTAGAGACGGAGTTTCTCCATGTTGGTCAGGCTGGTCTCAAACTCCCAACCTGATCTGCCCGCCTCAGCCTCCCAAAAGTGCTAGAATTATAGGCGTGATCCACCATGCCCGGCCAGAATTTCTATCTATTCAAAGTAAAATAAGGAGCCTTTCATATTTGCCCAGTCTGCTGTCATTGTGAGATATTTGATGTGATCTTTCCAGAAACCAGGTTTTATAAAGTATATAATGCTACTATCAATATGTAATTAAACAGTTTTGTTGTAGCATTTTAAATTTAAAAATTACTTACAATTGGCCTATAAATGAGCAAAAATATTTTTAAGACTTGAAATACATATTCAATATAAAATATATGTATTATATCCAAATATATGTAAAAATTGAAAATAGTGTATGTGATATACAATATATTACTTATACCTATGTAATCTGTTACATATTATCTATAAGATAAAATTTTTCAAATAAACACAAATACTATTAGAGCTGATTTTTGTGCATCATAGCAATGTTTACATTTTACTCCCCTAAAAGACCCCCAAAGACTGAAGGGTACATTCTTCTATCAATGTCTAAACACTGCAGAAAAAATATAAAGCCAAAATTGTTTTTCCTCTTCAATAAATTCTTTCTGGAATAAGAATTCGATTTTTTAAAAAATAGTTTCTAAATTGGTAAATTTAAATTAAATTTTTTATTTTTTTAATTTCTATTTTGTTTTTGTAACTTTACGTCCAGGCTGAATCATTCACATCAGAACCAGTCACTTGATTTCCAGTAGAGAATCAACAAGTATTTATGATACAGATGTTATTCACATTGTCCTCAAGTGACCATCAAACTTGCTTTTATTCCTTAATGGAAAAGTATTAGGAAACATAGAAAAAAGTTCTTGGCATGGCATGATATGAGCAGGAATGCTAGAAGATATTTCTTTTCAAAAATATCTCTCCTCTTTAGATCTCAACTTTAAAGTTTTATTATTGCAAATTCAAGGCTGTTGGTGAAAGTTTTCTGAAACCATCAGTTCTAAAGGTTTAAACATTATTAACCCCTAATTAACATTAGTATTGTAAAGTGAATTCAAACACAACACTTTTCAAAATATATTATTCCTCAGTATGCTAGTATCAATATACTTAAAAAGTGTTTTGGTTCCTCAAAAAATTAAACATGGAAATATCATCTAATCCAGTAATTCTACCCCTAGGTACATACCAAAAAGAAATGAAAATTGGTATTCAAACAAAACATATACACAAATGTTCATAACACCATTATTCAAAATAGCCAAAAGGTATCCATTAACTGCCTACATCTAACAACAAATGAATGGATATCAAATGCGGTATGTTCATACAATAGAATATCACTCAGCCGTAAAAAGGAATGAACTACTGATACACGCTACAACATGACTGAACCACAAAAAAAAATTATGCTAAGTGAAAGAATTCAGACACAAAAGGTCATATGTTATGTTAAATGATTCCCTTTGTATAAAATATTGAGATTAGGTAAATCTATAAAGACAGCAGATTAATGGTTGCATAGGCTTGAGGGAGGTGCAATGGGAAGTAAAGACTTAATGGATACAGAGTTCCCTTTTGAGGTGATGAAAATGTTGTGGAACTAGGTGGAGGGGTGGTTATGCAGCATTGTAAATGTAATAAATGCCACTGAGTTATACACCTTAAAATGGTTAACTATGTTGTGTAAATTTTACATCAATAAAAAAGGAAAAATGGAGGGTTCTATAATGTGTAATTTGGAAAGTCACAATTCACACTAGCATTTTACAGACTCTGAGAACTCCTGCAGTACCTTACACATTTAAGTTATATTTCTCAAATGCATTGGATTACAAAAACCTCCGTATTCTGTGTATATGCATGTGTGCATATGTGCCTGCACACACTCCTGCACACATTTGCACATGTGTTTGCTTAACAACTACCTCATATGCCTCATCTTTAAGGCTTAGCAGACCTGTTTTGGGTCAGAATCACAAAAAGAGATAACAAAGTACAGAGCAAATAAATCCTTTAAGATCAGTGAGGAAGAGGCCAGGCGCAGTGGTGGCTCACACCTGTAATCCCAGCACTTTGGGAGGCTGAGATGGGTGGATCACCTGAGGCCAGGACTTCGAGACCAGCCTGACCAACATGGCAAAACCCTGTCTCTACCAAAAATAAAAAAATAAAAAAAAAATTTTTCTACCAAAAATTTAAAATATATATATTTTTTGAATTTTCTACCAAAAATACACAGCCAGGCATGGTGGTACATGTCTGTAATCCCAGCCACTCAGGAGGTTGAGGTAGGAGAATCCCTTGAACCTGGCAGTTGAAGGTTGCAGCAAGTTGAGATCGCTCCACTGCACTCCAACCTAGGCAACACAGTGAGACTCTGTCTCAAAAAAAAAAACCATGAGGAAGTAAAAAGGTGTCCATACTAAGAAGCCCTTAAATATCAAGAACAGAACTGAAGAAAAATAAAAGACAGATACAGAAAGGAAAGGTGGGTGAATAATTAAAATCAAATTGCAAAGGAACATAGGTAGCGTCAATGAGGTGAAGATCAGGAGATTTGTACCCACGTCTCAGGTCAGATTCTCTAGGACGTGGACTCTGAGATGGTTGTGAGCAGGAAGTCGAGGGAGAATCCTCTGGGGATGTACATCTGTAAGGGGAAAGGAACAAAGGATTGGGAGGAGGAAGAAGCCAAACTGTGATGCAGGTCCTACAAAGACTTCAGCTAATCTCAAGAGAAGCTGTAATACAAAATGGCCCTTCAGAGATATCCAGGTCTTGTCTCTCAGAACCAGTGGGTCATGGGGTGCTAGCTGCCTCAAGCATATAGCCTTGGTAAGGAAGACAATTCCTGTGAAGAACCATCAGAAGAAAAGACTCCTGGCAGCTGAGTGATCAAATGCCTAAGCACTGAAGCGGGAATGTGGAGACCATATCATAACATTCACTACACAGGGTCACAATTTTCTGAAAAGTGTCCAACATCCCAAAAACATAATTCTAATAAGACCTCTTCCCACAACCACAAATCCAAGAAATGGCACCCTCAGGAAGTCTCCACTCAACAATTCTGAGTGATTTCCTATCCCCAGCCATTGTTTGATGCAGTGGGTATTTTCACTTTGTGGAGAAAAGGAAAAATTATTTTCCAGTAGAGTATCCTCTCTAGCAGGGTAGCTCAACAAGTTTGTGTTAACACTACCCCCAAAACTTGTTACAGATCAATTAACCTCAAATTAAAATGATCATTTCTTGCTGGTATCCTCTAATAGTTCATTAATTGATATCAAATAATGCTACTTGTTGCTTTTAATCTCTGGTTTTTCCATTGTGGTCTGCCTACCTTCTACATCGGCGTCACTTCAAGGAAAGAGGGCTAATAATTGAAAATAGATATCTGTGGGTCTCTCTCCAGATGGGCTAAACCTGAATCACTGAGGAAGAAGCACAGCAACCTGTTCTTTATGTTTTGGGATATTTTTATGGATATAAATGTTCAAGAACTACTATTACGAGTTCTCTAAATCTCCCTCGTTTGAGTCAAATCATCCAGGAACCATGGGCTCACAGCTCTTCACATTAGCCTCAATAGGTCTTTTTTTATTTAATTGCACTTTTGTGAGATGCCCGGAGCCAATACCGAGGTGTATTATATAAACTTCACTGAACAACTTGTGTCTGCGTTTACTGTTGAGACTAAGTGTAGGACAATACATGATGTCTTGTCTGTAAAGACTTGGGAGAAAATTCTGATCGCATAATCAGATAGAATTGTTCATCTCTTGAGCAACTAGATAGATTTAACACGATAAGTAGTGTGACTCACTTACCTTTAGTGTTTCCTTCTTCTCACTGGCTAGCAGAAACTCAGAGTCAAGTTTTTGGCACACCTCTAGAAAATATGCGTGACTCCATTGTGTGATTTTTGTGTCCTGACTCACTTTTACTTTCACTGAACTTTCCTGAGTCCTTTTTTTAAAACCATTTATTTGCTATTTCATATGTATTTTATTAAATGGTTTTTTAAATCCTTTCTGGGACAAGCCTGGGCATAAATAGTCAACTGTATTCCAATTATTAACACGTACCAGACATTCAACAAGTTCAGTCCATCAGTGAAATACCTTAACAGCCAAGAAGTAGCCCCTGCCAGTGTATTATATATGCTTTTGCACGGCACTGTGTGAAGAAATTCTAGCAATGTTGTAAGCAATTAGTTGGATAGGATTTCAACTTTTGACACCAATAACCGGTCTAACAACATTCTGTGACTTGGCATATCAGTGAACATAGGAGAAAATAATAGGGCTTGTGCATTTCCAAAGAACTATTGAGGAAGGAATTCAGAAAATGTCCCACAATTTTAATTCTCTTTTCTTTTCATTTAATCTTCCTCGCTTATGCATGCCCAAGCATAAAAGTAATATAAAAATTACAGAACCCCCAGATTTCATTTAAATCTCTCTAGCCCTTTGGACAATTACACAGTGCAAATTCCCTCTTTTCACCCAGTCATGCATTATACTTTGCTATAGGATGAAAAAATTCCTGATAAATGTCATCATGATTTAGTTCACGTTGGGAAAAGTAAGGTTACATTTAAAATATTTAGAAGTTTGAAGTTATTACATTACAGATGAGTTTGTATTTCTTAGTATGTATTAACTGTAAGAGTGTATTAGAATAAGTGTTAGATGTTGCCTATGACTATATAAAGTATCTGAGTCAACCAGAAATGAGCTCACACTTCTAATAACTTAAGCATGAATAAGTGAATCATAAAAAAGCCCTCCATTCCTTTTACTGAAATAATCCTGGGAAAGATGGAAACAGCACAGGCCTCTGCTTCTGATAACAGATATGGAAAGGAAACATGGAAGAGCCCTGGAAAATCTTTGGGCTGTTAGAATTAGCTTTCTTTTTTTTCTTTTTTTTTAACCTTCTATTATTATTATTATTATTATTATTATTATTATTATTATAATACTTCAAGTTGTAGGGTACATGTGCACAACATGCAGGTTTGTTACACAGGTACACATGTGCCATGTTGGTGTGCTGCACCCATTAACTCGTCATTTACACTAGGTATTTCTCCTAATGCTATCCCTCTCCCCTCCCCACACCCCACGACAGGTCCCAGTGTGTAAGATTCCCCACCCTGTGTTCAAGTGTTCTCATTGTTCAATTCCCACCTATAAGTGAGAACATGCAGTGTTTGGTTTTCTGTCCTTGCGATATTTTGTTCAGAATGATGGTTTCCAGCTTCATCCATGTCCCTACAAAGGACATGAACTCATCCTTTTTATGGCTGCATAGTATTCCATGGTGTATATGTGCCACATTTTCTTAATCCAGTCTATCATTGATGGACATTTACATTGGTTCCAAGTCTTTGCTATTGTGAATAGTGCCACAATAAACATACGTGTGCATGTGTCTTTATAGCAACATGATTTATAATCCTTTGGGTATAGACCAATGGAACAGAACAGAGCCCTCAGAAATAATACCACACATCTACAACCATCTGATCTTTGACAAACCTGACAAAAACAAGAAATGGGGAAAGGATTCCGTATTTAATAAATGGTGCTGGGAAAACTGACTAGCCATATGTAGAAAGCTGAAACTGGATCCCTTCCTTACACCTTATATGAAAATTAATTCAAGATGGATCAGAGACTTAAATGTTAGACCTAATACCATAAAAACCCTAGAAGAAAACCTAGGCAATACCATTCAGGACATATGCATGGGCAAGGACTTCATGTCTAAAACACCAAAAGCAATGGCAACAAAAGCCAAAATTGACAAATGAGATATAATTAAACTAAAGAGCTTCTACACAGCAAAAGAAAGTACCATCAGAGTGAACAGGCAACCTACAGAATGGGAGAAAATTTTTACAATCTACCCATCTGACAAAGGGCTAATATCCAGAATCCACAAAGAACTTAAACAAACTTACAAGAAAGAAATCAAACAACCCTATCAAAAAGTGGGTGAAGGATATGAACAAACACTTCTCAAAAGAAGACATTTATGCAGCCAACAGACACACAAAAAAATGCTCATCATCACTTGCCCTCAGAGACATGCAAATCAAAATCACAATGAGATATCATCACTCACCAGTTAGAATTAGCTTTCTATAGAGACAGCTGGTAACATATAGCATATTAGTTAAGCAGGTTCTAGCATTAGATTGTTAGGGGTTAAACTCCAGCCCTAATGTTTATCAAGCAGTCAGTACTAGGATATTTGACTTAGTCTTTCTGTGCCTCAGTCTCTCTTTCTATAAAGTAAGAATGATAACACTACCTATCTCACAGAATTGTTTTGAGGATTAAATAGGTTGATCTATAAAGAGCTCTTAGATCTAGAAAATAAAATTTTAATAAATATTAAATATTAAACTCCTTTCTGGATGATGTCCTGAGACACAGATTTACCTGTATTCCTTATTAGGAAATTTGATATGAGGTACAGGCCAAGAATAGCCATTATTACCATAATTGCTACTAGCTCCATCCATAATGGAAGATCCCATTACATAGTAGCCAAGTTCAGAATGAGCAAGCCTTGTGTGCTTTGCTGAGGAAGTGGAACTTTATCCTCAAGACAAACAAGAGTCACTGGAAGGTTATAATGTAGTAAGAAGTGTTAAGTGCTCAGATTTGGCTTTTGCAAGGATTATTCTGTGGATAAAGCACTGTTGAGATGAATGAGAGAAACACACAATCAGCGGCTTAAACAAGATAGAAGTGTGTGTTGTGTGGTGCATGTGTGTGTCTGTGCATGCACGCATAGGTTTTGGGGGATTTTTCCGTTTCCCATGTAAATGGGATCCATTTACATGGCTAGTAAGGCAAATTCTCACATTGATCCATGAATCCTCTATTCTGGTTGCTTCTTCATCCTCAAAAATGTAGATTCACTTCAAATTCAAGGGTGGCTACTCAAAAGGTAGTTATTATGTTTCCGTTCCAGGATTAGGAAAGGAAAAAACAAAAGGAGGTTATACAGTCTTCCCTTAAGAACAGCTCCTAGAACTTACTCAAGAGACTTCAGCTTACTTGTCCTTGTTGGAGCTTAGTTAGATGGTTACTTTAGATGCAAGCGAATCTGGAAAATGTGTTGCTTATTTTAAGTGGCCATGTAATTAAAAAAACTCAACTATTAAGTGAAAGGGGGAAAGGCAATTCTAGGGGACAAGTAGGAGTCTTCATCATCTGCAAATAGCTAGTGAAGATGTCAGAAAGCTGTATCTTATAAGACTGGGTCACCAGCTTCATGAAAAAGGACCAGTCAAGAAGTATCGCAGGTTTCTGTTTTTGGTGAAAGGATAGAGGACATTTCATTCAACAACGTAAGAAAAAGCTACTTGGTAAGGAAGATCATGAATAAATTAACCTTTAAGCATATTAAGCTTAAAATACTAGGCCAGGTGCCGTGGCTCACACCTGTAATCCCAGCACTTTGGGAGGCCGAGGCAGGCTGATCACGAAGTGAGGAGATCCACACCATCCTGGCTAACACGGTGAAATCCCGTCTCTACTAAAAAATACAACAAATTAGCCTGGCGTGGTGGCAGGTGCCTGTAGTCCTAGCTACTCGGGAGGCTGAGGCAGGAGAATGGTGTGAAC